ACAGCAATGAAACGAAGGTCCCCACGACGAGGCAATACGACGGTCAAAGACAGAGTTACAATCCGGAACAACGACAGAGCTACAACAATGACGGCAGATTGAGTAGAGCGAGCAGCTCCAGTTCTAGTGGATGTTTGTCCGACGGGGCACCAAGTAGTTGTGAGGTGAATATAATTAAACGCTATTTAATCATTGTAATAACGATGAATTCATTAAAAAACATTGTTATTACGTGCTGCTTTGCAATTACCGGATACACTTATTTAATTCTCGCATTTTAATTGTTATTGTTGATTGTTGATAGGTGGCCTTCGAGTGTGGTGAGTTCCCAACCGGTACGATAAAACGGAAGCCATCTATGAATCCAAAGTTGCCTCTCACGTCGATTACGAGGCAACTGAAAGAGGTCGGCGAAACTGTCCGAGACGAACCAGACTCTTGTCCAAGCCCCACGAGTTCAGGATCTGGCACGCTAACTAGAAGGCACAGTCGTCGGCGAAGTGGCACCGATTCCGACGGATCTGGAACTTTGAAGAGACATCATAGATCTGGAAACGCGACGCCCGTTAGTCCGGTACCTCCCGGTACGCCGGTAAGAGAAAGGGCGAGCCCAATGGGATATAATAGATCGGAGAGCCAAGAATCGAAAACGCCGATGAGTCCGATACCAGCATGCATGGTAATTTATATTAACATGAAATTTAATACAAATAAAGGTTCTTAAAAAGGTTCTTAAGATTCATTTGATATAAAACAAATTTATTTCGCAGATGGATTCGATCACCTCACTGCCACCACCACCATCACCATCAAGAGTGACCGAAGAAGTTGAATCCGATAGTGAACCACTTCCACCGCCACCTCCCGAAATGTTCCGATCGAATCTCTCGTTGGATTCTCTGCCACCGCCGCCAGCGCCCGGCGAACTCCCGATTTGCAATACGCCAGAACTTACGGGTTCCTCATTGAGTCTCGCGTCTCTGCCACCACCACCCAGCCCGCTTGTCGGTGAAACCGGAACGATACGCCGCGCCAGACCCAAACAGTCTACCCCTACGAACTCTGTGACTCCAGAGAACACTCCCACGCATACTCCCAGCGCTAGATTGCAATCCAATCAAATGTACACGAATAGTGTCGTGATGAACAACAATTCGGTCCAGAATTACAATTCGAACACATCTCCGAACGCTCATAACGCGAATACTACCGCCAATTCCTTACCTTCTCCGCACAGTTCCTATCCAGGATCGACAGCGAGCACGCCAACCTACACTCCGAACTCGCCTAATTTCGTGTCACCACCGCCCTTCGTGCCGCCGCCAGCTTATGGCACCCAACCGCAACATACCAATTCCCAGAGTCTCGGAAGACAAAACTCTAAAGTCGAGTCGATATATCAGACCAGTCAACATAACACAATTCATTCAATCCAACCGATTAGGGCGAATCCGAACATGGATACCGTCCGGCGCAGCGCTATGAAACAAGGAAGCGGTCATTACGCGGCGCCACCTTATTTGGCCGAGTTGAAGGCCGCCTCCAGTCCGCAACCGCAACGCCGAGTGACCATCCAGGAACCACCGACGTCGCCCAAGTCGAAGACCGGAACCGGTAAAAAGATCTCATTTAACCTGCCTCCCCAACAGGAACCCGGCAGTCCCGCGTTACCGCAACGGAAGCCGACGCCACCTAGGAGATCCGACAGTACTAGACTCACATCACCGAAGAAATTAGCGGCGTCTGATCAAGCACCACCGGGTGATTTCCTCAAGGATCTCCAGAGAGTGATGAGGAAAAAATGGCAGGTTGCGCAAAAGTGCAAATTAGATTCAACGACGACGCCACACGAAGTACTTGGTTTTCGGGATCCGCCGTCCGCCATAGCCGACTACAGGGAGACCAATGTATCCAACTGGGTCCAGGAACACTATGGTACGGACAATCTATACGAAAATGTATACGCAACGGATCCCCATGGACCGGTCGAGTATGCATCTAGCCCAGCCCGACAGTCAACAGTGAGATTCGCCGATGAGAATCGCAGCATAAACAACATCGTAAACGCGATTGCTGGTAAGAGACGGCCGCCGCCACCACCGCCCAAGAGGGCCGAAACCACGCATCTCACCACCACTAGAGCGATGCACTGACAATAGCAGATAATCCAGCCCCATCCCGAGAGGCGATGGTATTGCTGCCTCTGCGGCTGGTGGAAGGAGTGAGAACGGATGTAAGGAACGATTGCTTTGTCGATGCATCATCATTGTTTAGAAATGATTGGTATATCGAGTCCATATATGTCCATCGCTCCAATTTGCTATCCGGAAGATCGTCAATGGAAAAAAAGAAATGCTTCTTTAGTAAAAAATAGGTTGTATAGTTTTGTTCGCATTTCGTTGTCAGATTCTATTGGAAATCCGCGTTTCGAATGAGAATTTGAGAGAAAAAAATTATTCGTATAAATTAAAAAAAAGAAATCTTCGTCATTTGGTACTGGCGAAGATTTCTTTTCGGATCTTTCAATTTCAGAAAGGACTGGATTGATGAAATTAATCTATATGAATATTAATAAGAATATTAATAAGAAAAAAATTGTTCAAATTTCCAGCAACGAAGTTACGAAAAGATCGAGATGGTCATGACAAATAATCATGAAAAATTATAAATGCAAGAGGATAAATATCGATGAACCGTCCTCACCAGAAGTTTTCCTTGATTCACGATAACGTAACTACGTCTGCAGTTGAACACAAGACGAGCGATAAATGCTCTTTTGAGCTGAGCAACGAATTGAATTGAATTTAAGCCCGTGATAAAGATTTGATAGTAGCGTTACGGTCGGTCAATACAAGGAACACTGCCGCACATACGAAGGATGTGATATAAATCTTAAACACTATTGCTCGCCTGCGATTGCATAAGGCAAGGAGAGCTGATGAAAAGCAACGCGACAGAATGCGCGATTTCTAGGCAGGACAGAGAGATGAACTGACGATTTTATGCAGACTCAAAAGTTCTGCTTGTATGCATATTTTATAACCGCTAACTGCCTCGTCTGCGATTTTCTCAAATATAACTTGGATGTGATAAATAATATAAAATAAAAGAATATATGTGTGCAAATGATCTGTTAAAATATTTTCAAGTTTGACTTAAAAAAAATCATTGGTCAGAATAATTACATTCTAGTGTAACTTTTGATAATTTTACAAGTCCGATATTTAATAATTAGAAAAGCGATTTATTTGGTATTTGCTTCGGAAAAATATCGCTTCAAGAGTATCGTAAGAATATTTTATACGTACTCTAATAATAAAAGTGGAAATGAAAATATAATATACTACATATATTTGGTCTCAAGTTTCTGCTTATTTCTCGAGTTCTCCGAAAAACTTGATGATTCGGACTGTATTTCCAAAGATTATTATAACAAAGAGAACGCATATTCTATACTACGTGTAAACTGCAGCGCTCAAAGAAACACCAGGAAAGTCGCCGCGAAGCGAAAATGATCTCAGCAACTGGAAGTGAATCCCCGCTTGATTTTTTTACAGCGCAAGTGTTTCAACAGTAAAGAAGCTAACTTTATCGGATATCTTCTATGCGATTAGAGCGTCCTTTGCGATCACATCCTTGTGCATAGGTGTATATGTATATAAACTGAGTATGTACGCATGGTTACATTGGTATATCGATTTGGATTGCTATATATGTAGTATCATACAATCGAAACACGCCTCACGATGTAGACATGATGATGAAATGTACGGTTGTTCCGTACGTTCATCTATTGTATCCAATAAAATCATGCGAGATTAATTCTCGCTTGTCATCAGAGTAAATTGCGCGTTGACGCTTCATGATACGAGGAAACGAGATCTCCATTTTATGCCACTTCTGTTCTTTTCCATAACGGAAGAAAACTGACGACATCATTCTTAGAGTCAAGCGAATCAAACGAGAAGAATGTCGAAATTCATCGAGTTTCCGATGAATCGACTAACTCTGGAGGCTAGATAGATAATAAATTTTTTGAATACTTTAAATAAAATCGTCAGATATACTAAATACAAAAAAAAAAAACACGCGGATGTCCTAACTACTTGTATTTTCTGGACTCATTTAATTCTGGCGATTTAATCTTCTTATTTCAAGTATTCAATTTCTAGAATTAGACAAAGAAAATACGATTGTAACACATCTCCGATCGAAGAGAAAGCAAAATATGCTTCAATCGCGAAGATCGTTGCACTAGCCAATAACGAAGAACAATATTGTGCGTAGCTTCCCGTTTGTGATCACCAATGGAATCTTCAGCAACGACTAGCCGAGCCTTTTTAGGATCACGTAGCTGATGTAATTTGATATCTCGCATTTGCATGACTTACATGTGAAAATTAACGACTCTTTGGATTTACGAAGCATCTATATGGTCGAATTTTTATATACAAAATCGGAAGCCGCTCGAGAAAGCCCGTTCGTGCGATATTCAATCCGTAGAAAGTATTTTGTAAGATCAAATTTTGATATAGAAATATTTCGAAATAATTATACGCGAGTATATGAATAGGAAACTATAGGAATGAATTTTCAAAACATAACAAGTAATTTATCGACCAGTTTTTGAGCTGACAAACCATTTCTACGTTTTCACACTTTAATATTTCTGACCTAAGAAGATCATATCCATAATTATCCTCTTCATCTTTTTAAAATCTACGCTGCGTGTGCGCGGGATACAAACACAAGTGACTTATCGATCCGCCTTTGATCGACAGGTCACTTTTGATTCGACGACGTTTTCAATTTTAATAAAAAGAATTCACGTCGTGCCTGCGCGCGAGAACTTTTCCAATTTTCTAAAAAAAAAAAAAAAAAAAATAGCCGTGTGTGTCTGTGCGTGAGGATTTTCCAGTTTTATAAAGAATCCGTCGTGTCGTGTTTTAATACGCAACCATACCCCATAATTTTTACGATTTTCACGCCGTGCCTGTGCGCGAAAATTTTTCCAATTTTCAAGAAGATTCGCACGCTCTCGCACCGAGCGTGCTCCCTCGAGCGAGCGCCGAAAGCAAGCACGAATTTGCGTACTGTAATACAATCGAATTATTTAATAATAATAGCTAAAGGCTAAAGTGGAACCGTTGTCGATGTCGATTTAACTATATATTCCCGCCTTACGCGCGGTTTAATCAAACTGAACCAATAATATAAATGCATTTTTGAGACTAATATATCGACTTTACAGAGACTAAGCCTGACCTTTTTCATACGAATTTCTAAAATATTCTTCTCACGAGTACGAGTATTAATGTCCTTACGCTTGGAATGCGACTCGCAAAATCTTATTCTTTAATTTAAAAATTCGTCGAGAATGTATACGTTTCATATTAGACAAATTTTATTTTTTTCATTTTGTTTTTTCTTTTTTTATATAATATATATAATTTTATTTCCATCGTGCTAAAATATATATATATATATATATATACACACACACACACACACAGTGAGATTTGAGATTTGATTTGTTTCTATTTGATTTATTAACTTTAAACATAATTTATTTTCATTTTGATGTATTTTGATCTTGTTGTATTGAAACTAATTTTGGCGAATATGCCGCGAGTGCGCCGCGAATTCGCCGAGCTGAACACTCCAGGCAATCTGTGTAGGTAGCTTTAGTATTCGATGTACGCGTGCTGCCCATCGCTTAATTTTCATGGGATGGATGAGTTAATCGACCGTCCATTTCAAGAATAATTTGATTGAAGCTTTCATCGCGTTGAGATTAGTGCAATTGGCAATAGGAATCTGTAGGGAGCGAAGTCGAGGAAGCACACAATGATTATCGATTACTAACAGAAAAGATAACATTTTGATTATTGTATTTGGGACCGTCTTAGAAGATTAATTAATTAATAATGGCAAAATCTGCGAGGTTAAAAATAAGCGAAATAGAGTCTCGTTATTATGGAATTTTTTTGTATTAAAACAATTTTTAAGAGTTTTTTAGTGGATAATATATTTCTTATGTAATAAGAAATATTTATATAAGGATAACAAGTTTTTTTGAGTCGGTCCTGTCGTACCTTTTTTCGATTGCGTACTCTAAGTTGTTCGTAATACTTCTGTAAATATTGTAATGAATGGAAGAAAAATTGTTGTCGGTGATGTCGCGTGCCGAACATTGATGGCCAACGTGTTTACGTTGAAGAGGAGAAAAGCGAGCCTTTGAAGATTTAGATCAGAATAGATATGATTCTTTCGAAAGTGGGGCTTCACCGCATTCCGTTTGGTTTAATCAATTGTTTCGGCTCGAGATTGTTTCTCGGTCAGTTATCGCGAGGACGAAACACCTCTGACGCTGCGTTCGCATCGCTATCAGATCGATTCGATCTGTAGCTTAACAGTTAGACTTTAGGTCATATTGCAGATTGTTTCGGACTACACTTTGTGCAGGTGTGTTTAAAAAATTGTGACAATACTGACATTATTTCGTGACCCGACGCCAGTTGTTTAGGTATATAACGCGTACCGAGCGAACAAAGAAATGCGCAGCAGTTGAAATATTATAGGTATTATATTCATGTTTTTATGTAAATAAATTTTTGGTATATTTCAATAGACGATCATCATTTCTCGTCTCCTTTGTATCGCATCTTCCGTATGATATTTCGCTTGATATATTGAAATGCGATGCGATGTAAACGTAGCACAATTTTTATTTTTATACGTAACTCGAATATCTTATTATTATAATTTTCATAATTTAAAAATTTTATATAAAATTCTCTAAATTCCCAACTATTGATGGTAAATGAAGATTTCGTAGAAAGTTTGTTTATAAGCGCTTTGACACACATTTTAGCAAAATAATTTTGTAATATTATATACGTATGAGAAAGAAAATGTACTTAGTACATTTTATAATTTTAGACACTTTAAAAAAATATTTTCCGCTTTTATTAACTATCGGTAATACTAACTGTTGATTACGAAGTATAAAGAAGCCTTCTTTCGATATGTAATAACAGTGATAAAGTATTACAAAAAATATTTATATTAAAAATAACAATATGTTGCTAACTTTAGTAACTTTTGTAGAGTCTGATAATTGTATTTTTTAAATTGTATCTAAAATTTATTCCGTTGCAAGATAACGTAGGGCTGTTCAGAAACAATATTTTTT